CTACATTTTTAAAAGCTTATTTTTTTAATGTTTATAATCTTTTTACCTGTAAGGATACAAATAACACTTTACTTTTTTTTGGGACTGTGCTTTTGGAAGAAGTGACTTAAAGTTTTGTTTGTAATTATTTTTCTGTGTGACCAGAGTAGTATTCTTTTTGGTTAGTGAACTGATACAATAAAACCCATCTAGAAAAAGCCAACTAACAATGTTCTCTGTGTTTTTATTGCACACAACACATTTAAAAATAGCAATGATCTATTGTTTAAAGATTGGTCTGTGCTTGTATTTAGCTTGTAAGTCCTAGTGAATGAGAGTAAAGAGTGGAAACTAAAGACTGATTCATAAAAGCAAAAACAAATACTCTTTAGTAGAACAGAAAACATCTTATCAGTAGACTTGATTGTGAGTTTATGAGTTCTCACGCTGTAGTCTTTGGCTGCTTTCCCTGATGGTGTCAATGAGGACTAAAGGTCATAAACTGTTTGCTGTTGCCCTTCTGCACTGGCTCTGAGCATTATAAAAAGTGTTTACAAAGCAAATTTGGAGGCAGGCGTTCGACCCTGTGGTTAAGATGCTTCCATCTCGTGTTGGAGTGCGCGAGCTCAATGTCTGACTCCAACTTCCTGCTAATGCAGATCCTGGGAGGCAGTGGTGGCGGCTGAAACGACTGGGTCCTGCCATCCAGGCGGGAGACCTGGATTGTGTTCCCAGGTTCTCGCTTTGCCCTTGCCCCAGATCTGGCTGTCATCAGCATTTGGGGGAGTGAACCAAGTAGATGGGAGCTCTCTTTCTTTCTCTGTCTCTTTGCCTGTAGTATAAATAAGTAAAAAATTAAAAATAAGCAAACTTAAGGGCCGGCATTGTAGCATAGTGGGTTAAGCCACTGCCTACAATGCTGGCATCCCTTGTGGGTGCTGATTGAAGTTCTAGCTGTTCTACTTCTAATCCAGCTCACTGATAATATGCCTGGGAAAGCAGTGGCAGATCACCCAACCACTGAGGCCCTGCACCCACATGGGAAACCCAGATGAAGCCTCTGACTTCATCTCTGTCTCTCTCTGCCTTTCAAATAAATGAATAATTTTTTTTTTTCAAATAAGCAAACATAACACCTTGGAACCAAAAAGGATAGCCAAATATTCAGGCACGCTAAGCTCACTCTACCATCTCTCTCTGATGAGGATGTGCTGGTTTCCAGATCAGCACTGTGCTGAGTGCTGCAGTGTTAGCCTGGCTTGCTCTGCCCCTCAGTGGATTGTCCCTTGTGCTGAATTGGGAAGCTCACCAGGTTTTCTTTCCTTTTTTTTTTTTTTCTCCCCTCCAACAATTGAGTAAATGTTTTAAGGCTTTATTTTACAGCCTTGAAATGGTAACTAAAAGAGTGTTGTTTCCGTTCTTTATCTTGTGTATTTGGCAAATTTATTTGGATAAGTTTTGAAGAGGAGGTAACTCAAAAATTTTTATATTTGAAATTGAAATATATTGAACCTTTAGGTTTTATATTATTTATTCTGCATAAGTTGAATCATAGTTTAAGGGCTGATGTGAGGGAGTAGCACATAGAGCTTATTTGTAGAATTTCTGCCTTTAAAAGAACCTTTTTTATGAAGTGTAGGATATTTATAATATGAATAATTGCTTCTGATTTGTTAGTTTATGTATTCTTATATTCAGTCCCTCATTTTATTAAAGTAGGTTATCTTTTAAAAACTTAATAGTAAGAGCTTAAGTGGGAGTCAGAAGCCATCTTATCCAAACAAACCATAGTGAATGTGTTATTTCATCTATAACCAATTAGCCTTTAGGGTATTTATTCCATGGCACAAGATATTCCAAGGTGCATCTTGGGATAATGTTTCCCCCTTCTCGATTCCATTGAACATTCATGGAGCACCTGTGCTGTTCCAGGCTGTGGAAAGCTGAGGTATCTATGAGAAGCCATCTGCAGGGTGGGCGTTTGGCACAGTATGTTCAGCCGTCGCTTAGAAAGCCTGCAGCCACATCATAGCGCCTGGCTTGAGTCCCGGCTATCCCATGCTTCTGGTCCCACTTCCTGCTAACATGCCTGAGAGGCAGCAGATCATGGCTCAAGTACTTGGGTTCCTGCCACTCACATGGGGAGACCTAGATCAAGTTCCTGGCTCCTGGCTTTGGCCTGACCAACTCTGACTGTTGGGGAGTTTTTTAGGGAGTGAACCAGTGGATGGAAGATCTCTTTCTCTGTCCTCCCTCTCTCTCTCTGTCACTCTGCCTTTCAAATGCATACAAACATGCGTACATACATACTTTATAAAAAGCAATCTGACAGGCCTGTTGGGAATGCACGTAGCTAATACATATACAGAAAGTACTATAATCGAAGTACAAGCAGAGAAAGAAGAGATGAACCCTGTGTAGGGAAATCATGGTGGTATTACTGTGGGATCTGAGTGAAAAATGGGAGCAGCTAAGTAAAGACCTAGATTCTTTGGTACAGGCTTAGATTGGAAAACCTTCAGTTGATTAAGGGAATCAATGAAACAGATAATAAGGAGGACCTTTTAGAGGACAATGGCACTGGAAATAGAGTATTAGAGAGATTCTGGACCTGCTTGGGCAAGATTTGAATACTCATATCAGGAAAGAAAATGGAAGAGCTGGCTCTCTTTGAGGGGGAAGAATCCATTAACTTGGTAAGGAGCACTGGAAGAGGATCAGATTTGGAGTAAAGGTGGTGAATTTAGTTTTGGACATTAATGTGTTTGAAGTGCTTCAACGATCTGTCCGTCCATCTACCCATGCTTCCATTCTTCCACCCATCCCTCTGATATTTGCCAAGCACCTGTTATGTACCAGGTACTGTGGAAGGTACAGGAATGCAGAAAGTCAGTTGTAGACTACAGCCAGTAAATCCACGTGTGGCTGACATGATCCAGCATGTTCTGGGCTGCACATTCATTAGGGATATGTGCTATGGTTGCCACTTTGTTGAAACAGGGCCTCTGGAGCTTAGGGAAAAGGTAGAGCCAATGGCAGAGGTTGGAGATTCATGTGAGGAAGTTAGAGCAAGCAGGTCCACAGCCCTGGACTCCACCGAGGGGGGAGGGCAAGTTCCATAGTGCGGGGGACTTGGCGGGACCTGCTCCCCGGGCCCGCAGCAGTAGTGCCCCATTAGCTCCACAGGAAAAGAAAAGGCACCTCTCTGGCTGGTTATTCTGTAGATGGTAGGAAGTGGAGAGTGAAATGGACGGTGCTACTCTTGTGGAGTTCAGGACTAGGCACTTAGACTTCCTTCTTTTACTGGGTAATTTTTATGTAAGGGGTCTGTATCATTTCTGCAATGAAGGCCTCTCAAGTGTTTCTTATCCACACATAATTAAGGTTTATTATAGAACAAAGAACAATATCATTTGCAATTTGTTATTAAAAATGTCTAAGCCTTTCAACTCCACCTTTAATGTTGCAAATTTAATTCCACATGAACTGGTTATTTCTTATTTTAAAAGTGTCTTTCATTTGAAAAATTGCAGACAGCAACTAGTAACGTCCTCTCTGGCTATCACGTGGAAGACTTAGATGAGGGTGAGTACCACACTCTGTGTAGCTTCTGTGCCTCCAGGCTGTGCTTCTTACTTGAGCATTGGGAGGGCAGGGGGTGCACTGGGTTATGATACATGTAAATGGAGATGTGGGTTGAATGTAAAAATTTAATTTTAAGAAGTCGGTATAGATGAAAGCAGTTTACTCTCTGCACTTTCTCATAGAATACTGCAGTAATGGAGATAGGAGGTGACTTGGGTTCTTGTCGCGTTCATCCTTTTGCATCTGTCCAGGACTAAATTCAGATCCCGGTCTTAGAATCTTCTTTCTCTCCTTGTCTTAGGCTAGTACAATGAAACTTTTTGGGAGTTCTGATCTGTAAACTGAGTTGGTCTTGCCCGAATTAATGTGACCATCTTCTCTGCTCTCCTCTTGCCCGGGAAAGGGAAGAGAGACCAGCAGTCCTGAGTGTTTGCTCATTGCTGTGTCCCATGGTAGTGGCTTTCGCAAGCTGAGTCCTTCTTTGTGTTCTTGGTAGTGGGTGAAGCTGGTGTTTATTAAGGTTTAGAGTTCCCCAAAGTCACACAGCTGGTAAGATCGAAGCACAGCTTGACACTTAAGCTGCTGGAGTTATCTTTTCTTTTTCTTTCATGTTTTTGGGGTAGGGGGAGCCGCAGTGACTTGAAAAGAAATAGGAAATGTCTATGAGGTCCTTGAAAACTTCCTGCTTAGCCTCTAAAGCTTGCGCCTTTTCTCTCTTAAGTCTTATTTTCCTTGCCTTATTTGGCACCTCACCTAAAAAAATCAACTCACTGTTTTCAAATATAAACAGGTGATATATTTTTTAGCTCCTATCTTAGGATCCAACTTTCAAGTGTAAAAAAAGGATTATGGTATACAGTGACATGTGGAAGACAATCCTAGGGTACATGAATTACAACGTGGATCCTCTTAGCATTCAGTGTGCAGTAGTGGAATTTCCTTCCAAGACCCTAGTTTTTTCATTCCTGAGGAATTCCCAATAGAGACACATCCCAGGCTAAGCAGTGACAAGCAAACCACCCTTGGGAGTGGTTGGGAAAGAGATTGAAGTGAAAGTATGTCCACCAGTTGCTAGGACAAAGGGTCACCAACCTGACGCAGCTGCTGGGGACTGCCTCTTCAGAGATTCTTAGTCATATGGGTGATCGATTTAACTCAGCTTCTTGGTTTGTTTTTGATAGAAGCAAATGTGCCATGTCCTTTTTTTCATCATCTGGGGCAGTGTGTGTGTGTGTGTGTGTGTGTGTGTGTGTGTGTGTAAATTATAGTACTGTTTTCAGCTAAATATTAAAATTACTAGGTAGCCTCAAATTATAAGACTATATTCTGGCTCCTCCGTAGGGTCTTGCAATGCTTGGCATTTCCGCCCACCACCTCGGGGAATCACGAGTAGCGAGGAATATACTCTGTGTAAAAGGTAATGTGAACTAATACATTTTTTAAACCAGTTGCAGGTCTTCGTTGAGAGGAGAGATAGTTTTCCTTCAGTCTTTAATAAGTAATAATTCAAATTTAAAGAAGATAATATGTTAAAGAAAAAACGTATAAAGATTGAGTTTATTTCCTGTTTATTTTTAAGAGTAGTTTATTTTCTGTTTGCAACAGGAGTAAAAAATGCCATTGTCATTAAATAATAAAAGTCAAAACAATATTCAGCAGCCACCTTTTAATTACCAACAGGTGATGTAAATGCAGGCTATTGAGATTTTGTTCAAAAGTCTTTTGTAAACCACTTGTATTATTGTGGCTGAACTTAGTTGCCAGTCTTGTTAATGTGAAATTTACCCGGGTTATTGTGATTGAAATTACTTCATGTAAACTGAAATAGAGCATAAAATAGAAAAATATTAAATTATTTTAATAGCATATAAAAATACCTTCATGTAATAATTATACAGGATTTTTGAATAATTTATATTTGAAGAACTAACCTTTCAAAATTTAATAAGTATTTATTACTGTAGAAAGAATTGTTGAAGTCACATTTTACAAGGTGAACTACTTAGTTCTTTTTATAAGAACTAGCAACTACTAGGAATTTAGGTATAAATTTTCATTTGCTTTATGATAATGAAGAAAATTTGTGTCATTTTGATGATTGGTTAAGACATTGATTTGATTTTGTAGTAGAAATAAAGAAAACTACATAGAAATATCGAAAATCCTGGTAGCATCATGTTATAAGAGAGGTAGAACACAATTGTATAAAAAGGAAATATTAGATTTATAGCCTAGATAAAAGTATAAAACTTGCACTTTTTAAAGAAAATAATTCAAAACAAACCAATAGACAGATATTTGGTTCATTAAGACATATTGTACTTAACCATACATACATTATTTTACATGTGTTTTCTGAAGCATAAGATAATTTAATAAATGGTATAATTTTAAATTTAAGTGTTTTTTGAACCATCAGGAGCAATTTTAGATATACTCACCTTTTCAAATATGGTAAACTGTTTGGTAATTTGCATTGTGCTGTGTTTCATTTTGTATTTCTTATTAGCCATATTTTCTCTAGTTGAAATTTGTATAAAGTCTCTTGTGTCCACTTTGCTATTTATAATTTGATTTTCATCTTTTTCCCTCATAGGGGTACATTAGTTTTTTAAAATGCTTTCATTCATTTAAGAACTGGTTGTACCCATAGTTTTGCAGAATATTTAAAACTTTAAAAATTAGTGATTGGAATCTTTTCTTTATCTGTTTTGATCCCCACCACAAATTATCAATTGAATTTTCTTTTAAAAAAATTATTTTTGATTGACAAATGGTTGTACTTACATATAATGAGTGCCAAATGATGTTTTGATGTACTTGTATGTATACATTCTACAATTGTCAGTTGTATAATTTGCATTGAAAATTTGAAAATTTTTCATTTCTTTGTTGTGAGAACATTCAAAATCCTCTCTTCCTGCTGTATACTGCATTATAGTTGGCCATTGGCACCCTATTGTTCTGAGTCATAAAACTCGAGAAATTATTAACTCTGTCCTTTACTATTGACATTTATGAAATTTACTCTTTGGAGACTTGAATGTGACTGTTGGGTAAATGTGTGACTCTGTAATATAAAATTTCTGTTCTAAATTTACTTAGCACTTATAGGCAAATTGATGTCATCTAATACTTTCAATGAAATATAAATAACAGTACTATAGCAAAGACTAAAAGCATTAGGTTTAAAGGTAAAAAATAGAACCTCTAAAATGACAGTTTAATAACATATTAAATTTTTTTCAGAATGAAATTCCTAATATACAGAACTTTGAGCTAATCTACTTGATGTCAGTGTGGCTTTAAAAAAAATGCTGTCCTGAGAGAAATTGTGTAAGAAATTGTGTATGACAAAGGAAGCTACTCTTCAGTGAGCCTCTCTGGAGGAGTGATCATGCGTGTGTTCTGTGTGACAGGATCCCCTGAGGGTCTGGAGGAGTGATCGTGTGTGTGTTCTGTGTGACAGGATCCCCTGAGGGTCTGGAGGTGTGATCATGCGTGTGTTCTGTGTGACAGGATCCCCTGAGGGTCTGGAGGAGTGATCGTGCGTGTGTTCTGTGTGACAGGATCCCCTGAGGGTCTGGAGGTGTGATCGTGCATGTGTTCTGTGTGACAGGATCCCCTGAGGGTCTGGAAGAGTGATCGTGCGTGTGTTCTGTGTGACAGGATCCCCTGAGGGTCTGGGGAGTGATCGTGCGTGTGTTCTGTGTGACAGGATCCCCTGAGGGTCTGGAGGAGTGATCGTGCGTGTGTTCTGTGTGACAGGATCCCCTGAGGGTCTGGGGAGTGATTGTGTGTGTGTTCTATGTGACAGGATCCCCTGAGGGTCTGGAGGAGTGATTGTGTGTGTGTTCTGTGTGACAGGATCCCCTGAGGGTCTGGGGAGTGATCGTGCATGTGTTCTGTGTGACAGGATCCCCTGAGGGTCTGGAGGAGTGATCGTGCGTGTGTTCTGTGTGACAGGATCCCCTGAGGGTCTGGAGGAGTGATCGTGCGTGTGTTCTGTGTGACAGGATCCCCTGAGGGTCTGGAGGAGTGATCGTGCATGTGTTCTGTGTGACAGGATCCCCTGAGGGTCTGGAGGAGTGATCGTGCGTGTGTTCTGTGTGACAGGATCCCCTGAGGGTCACGGCCGTGTTATGCACGTTAGGACCTACTTGTCAGGGAAGGTGGGCAGTTGCTGTTTTGGTCATTTCCATTGTTCCCTGAAGTTCTCCCTCCTCTGTACGACAGTGCAATAAATGTGGCCTTTCAGAGCTGTTTTGGGTTTGCTATTGAAGAAGCAGAGGGCAAATGCTGAAGTTTGTCTTTCAAATGGTTCAGCAAAGTGTATGATAAAACAGTCTTTCCCATTCTACTTAGATTTTTAGAGCAAGGAATCTGTAGGTATGGTGCCCAGTGTACTTCAGCACATTCCCAGGAAGAACTAGCAGAATGGCAGAAGAGATACGCGTCACGATTGATAAAACTGAAACAGCAAAATGAGAATAAACAACTCTCAGGCAGTTACGTGGAAACCTTAATAGAAAAGTGGATGAATTCGTTATCTCCTGAGAAAGTGGTGAGGAAATAAACTACATTTTTTTTGTTTGTCTTATACAACGAACTTATTTGAATCTTGATTTATTATGTATAGTATTTTTGCTTATTTCCTTACCTTCTGTATGAACAACTTGATTCTTGATAAAATGTTTTTAGTGGCAAAAGTAGACCCAAGTGGTAAAATAAAAGCAGAACTAAACCATCTGGTTGGAGATCTGTAGATAATATGTTAATGACTTTGATTTAGGCAGACTTGGTCTGCTGTTTTTTGGTTGTTGTTGCTTCTGTCACTTATTTTAACTTTTAAGTATTTTGTTCCTACAAAAGAAACTGAAAATGAATGTATAAAATGCCTGACTTGGTAACAAGTTCCTTCAGTCTTTACTGTTGACATTTACTTACCATGCTAAAAGTTGGTGTTTGTACTGTTTCAGCAATGAAAATATAATGTTAATTGCTTTCTGTTTTCAGCTTAGTGAGTGTATTGAAGGGGTGAAGGTTGAACATGATCCTGACCTGTCCGTTACGGTCAGCACCAAAAAATCCCACCAGACATGGACCTTTGCACTCACTTGTAAGGTATGAATTTTGTGCTAATTAAAGAACATAAATTTTGTTCATTTTTCTCAAGGCTTTTTTGGACCCTTAAATCTCTGTGATGAGAGAACATTGAAATGTTTTTCACTAAGTACATTTTTCTGTAGATTCCATATTGTGCTAAAGTGTATTCCTGTATTTTGATCATTAGAAGTGCAGTTTTTGACTTGGAGATACAATCTTTGTAGATATTCAGAATGCTTACATATTTATTTGATGAAGAAGTTTTTGATATGTTGGCTCCTAAGCTTGGAACATAGGATGGGGTTCATGGCTTGCAATTAACTACTTAAAAAACTTGAATTGCTTGTCTGGAAATTCTAAGATTTTTAAACAATGGCAACTTATTTTTACATTTGATTTGATGAAATCACAAATTCTGAAATGGATTTTTAATATGAGATGTTTTCTATAGGACTTTCCATCTTAAATTATAATCGTCAGAGTTTAAGATAGAATTGAAGTGAAAAATTTCTGTGAATATATTCAGTGGAGAAGTTTTGTGTTTAGTGACATTTCTTCCACTGTACCCTCTCTTTTTTGGGATGAAAAATCAGTGAACATTTGGCTTCAGCCTTGAACCCAATCCAGTACTTTCAGAGGTAACTGCCCTCTTATGAAGGCTTCCTACTTGAGGCTACTTAAAACTTTATTAGGTAAAGGTCTGGGAAGTTGGAGGTCAAGTACTACACAGGGTGATGACAGCTTTTGTCACAGTGAAAGATGGACATATCACAGAAAGTGCAGGGAGGCTAGTGATGTAGTATAATATAGCTTCTTAACAGCTGATTTTTTTTGACTATTTTGACTTTTTCTAAGTGGCTTATGAGCACGATTTGTTGTTTTTAACATTATACATTAGAAGCATGGGAAAGTGAAAGCCCCTTATGGAAATATTTTCTTTGAAGAGCCCAATTACAATTGGATTTTTCACCCCCTTGTACTCAATGAATTATTTTAACTTCCTTGTAGCCTGCAAGAATGCTGTATCGTGTAGCATTGCTTTATGATGCTCATCGTCCTCATTTTAGTATCATTGCAATATCTGCCGGAGATAGTACTACCCAGGTATCACAAGAAGTCCCAGAAAACTGTCAAGAATGGATAGGAGGAAAGATGGCCCAAAATGGATTAGATCATTACGTGTATAAAGTCGGGATAGCATTTAACACAGAAATATTTGGAACTTTTCGCCAAACCATAGTTTTCGACTTTGGATTGGAACCAGTACTCATGCAAAGAGTAATGATTGATGCAGCTTCTACAGAAGGTAATATTTAGACTTTTTTCCCCTGATACAATGTATTAAAGGCAACATTGAAAGATGTATTGGCCCCGGAATATTCCATGGATAGGGAGGGAATGATAAGGATAAATGATCCCAAGTTAATTGACTCATTTACTGTGTAATGGGCTTAGAACAGTTCACATTGTGCCCTGATCTCTTCTTCCGGTTATCAGGCAAAATTTGCTACAGTTCCCCAAAACTGTATGAGTTAGATGATCAGGTCTATTTTGGTCTACCAATTTCATTGTAAATTAAGATGATTTTAGCACAGTCAAATCTTTTAATATTAGTTTGGGTAGTATGTAATTTTGATGGTAATTGTGTGTATACCTATAATGTCTGTTTCCATGTGCTATTGACTCCAGTAAGCTTTGCTGAAGTTATGTGTGGTACGCTAACTCTGAAGGCAAAGTCCTAACTATCAGCCTTCAGAAGCCAGTCTGTTTATTCACTGTGCACTAGGGTGAAGGACCAAAGTGCTTTTAACAGGATCTGCTTTCGTTTCTTGGGAAGAGGTCCCTGGTTTCAACGTGTGAGCCACCTGCAGAAGATGAATTACTCTGTATGTTTTCATGTTACTGCGGATACTTAGATTTTATGTTTGGATCCAACAGGACAAGGAAAGGATACATTAGCCCACATTTCCTTGACTTTTGGTTGGATTTGCAGGTGCTTTATTTAACAAATACCAAGTATTTATTTAACAGACACTGCATATAGGAGGGCAGTAGGAAGTTTGTTATTGCACTGACTATAGGTTATTGTTCACTCTATACCACACTGGCCCGTTTATGAACCTGGAAGGTGTTTTTTTTTTTTTTTTTTTTTTTTTTTTTTCATGAGCAAATGCTAAGATGTTGTATTTTGCACATAGTAAACAGGTAGAATGAATCTGTCTTCTTCAAAGCTGCTAGTGAAGTTAAAGCAACATTTGTGCCTAAATTTAACAAGTAGGTGCAGTTTCCTTGTTTATGTGCTGATACTACCCCGAGTTCATTTGCCACTTACTTTGATCCCTCTTACCTGTTTAGACTAAAATGTATGTATCTTTGTCATCTTCTCAGTACTCTTTGAATCACAGAAAATTAATTTCTGTAGCAAAATATGATAGTTCACAAAATAGATATTTAGTCTGAATCTCTGCGCATAGGATTTGACACATTCTTTCTGTAGAGGACTATATCTAGTTCTCTACAGGGCTATATCTAGCTGTATGTATTGCAGGTTCTGCAGGCCAGATGGTCTGTGACAGCTGGCCAGCTCTGTACTACAGTGAGAAAGCAGCCACTCAATGTGGAGATGAATCAGTGTGACCGTCTTCCACTAACTTCATTTTCAAAGCAACAGCACACTAATTTGGGCTAGATTTGGCTTGTTTGCCATAGTTTGCCTACTCCTGTACTAGTAAGTTGGTTTTAGAAGCCAAAACTTGAGTACTACTAGAAAGCAACCTCTTTAAATGATCAGGAGATTTAAGTTATAAGGAGAGATGCATGCATCCCATGCTCTCAGATATAACTGTATGAGGATATTCTTGGTTTACATATGGGTTATATTTTAGAAATTTGCTTTTGGATTGGTGTTTTGTAATTTATGACTTGTTTTCCCATAGAAATAAGTATGTATTGTCAAGAATTCATTCTAGTTAATGAAAGTCTGTGTGATTAAAATACAAAATATTAAATGTCTACAATAAAAAATGAAAGAAAATGATACTGTTGCAGCAGGTAAGAATGAGAAAAGATGTTGATGAAGGTGATTTCAGGCACTTTCATAGGCTCAGGAAGAGTGAAGGCAGCCTGACCACTTTTGTCTTATATACATGGCACTATTGTAGTTGGATAAGAACAGGGACAAAAGTGAGAGCCAAATAGATTTGGGTTCAAATCCTTATTTTCTGTTTATTGCCTGTGTGACCCTGAGCAAAGTACTTAACATCTCTGAGCTTCCTGGGTAGTTGTCTGTAGCGTGGGTTAGGAACATCTGTTTTAGAGGGTTGTGAGAAGCAGAAATAAGCTTCGCATGACATTTGGCTCATGGTAGGCATTCAGTCAATAGTAGTGATTATTTTTATCATTAGCCATGATTAGGGTAATTGTTAGCTTAGATGCAGAATGAAGAAATTAGGAAAGGGAGAACTTTTTTTTTGTTTTAAATGAGGATTGGCATTAGGGTGCTAGCCAAGCGACAAAGAAGCAGAGGTAAAGACCAGAGCCATTAAGGCCACAGCACCTGCAGGTCTTGGCAACAGAACACAATAAAGATGTTGAAAGAGGAGTTGTCCAAGATGAGTAATGTTTTGAATCTAGTAACTGAGAAAAATAGTTTCTGATGTTTCTAATGTATCAGTTCAAAAATACAGTAAATCCCACATTTCATTCAGATATTGGAGAGGGAATTAACACAGACAAGGATATCTGCCTTCTCTTTCATGGTACTATGTCCTTTATTCCCTGCATGGACTCTTTGTAGTTTGATATCTTGGTTTTCTTTCTTATTTTCTTAGTTATGTTAGGGAAAATAACTGAAGAAAATGAAGCATTTTATTGAACTTATTTGGAATCATTTGAAGTAATTTCACATGGTGAAATTTGTTTTTAAGGATAGAGGTAAAATAAATACTAGAACAATATAAAATATATTTTCTGATGTAAGATTTGGACAAATTAGATGATATTTGGACAACTTTTTCTGGCTATTCAATTATCTGACTTGTGCTGGTTTTTAGTTAGATCTGTCTAATTTCTCTACTCTTAAAATTGATGTTATTGAATAGCTTACTGTTTTTGTTAAGGTCTTTTTTTTTTGCATGATTACATTTATTTCAGTGTGATTGTGTTGAGAGTTTTAATAGAATTCTGAAGAAATGAAAGAGTGCAAATATATAATATTTGTTTTCTGCTTCTATCTTGGTGATTATGTTCTGATTATTACAGCAGAGCTCTTATCAGCAAAAAATTTGAGGACAAAAATTTTTTTATGTTATGTCACAGTTTTATAAAACACTCTGAGATGATAAAGAAGCAAAATGACAGTGTCCCATTTTGTATTTTTCCCTGGAATATATTTAGGAACAATGAGAGCAAGATAGCTACTTTGTTAAAGTGACGACAGTGTGACAATGTGGCTAATTTGACTTCTAGTCTCAGCCAGTTTTTTTTATAGGCTCTTCCTTGACCTGGAGGTAGGAGAACAGTCATTCCAGGTACAACACATTAGCCAAACGCAGGCAGAGCTGGAAATTGATTTAAGTCTGAGCTGTACCATATTTCCATACAGTTTTAATAACATTATAAATTATAATACCATGTTATTTCTACACACACATTTAGTGATGTGAAATTGAGTTTTGAATGAGAAATATCTATATTCATTGCCTCTTCCCCATGATTAGCTGTTCATTGTTTAAACAAGTTATTCTCCTTAAATTAATGCTGGACACATATTTCTCTTCCATTAAGCTATAAATTTGCACCCTGCTGGACCAACCATCAGCTCGATGTTTCCTCATCTGTGTTGCACTGAAATAAATAGTAGCACCTATAGTAAAAAGTTCCATGAACAAATAAATTTGGGCATAGCACACACTTTACTTCTCTCTTAGAGACTGACAGGCACCTTAGTGATCAGACTCAGTGAAACATTTGGTCATGGGACAGAATTTCCTTAGTGTGGGACTCACTGAAACTTACATTATATAGCAGGCATTTATATCTCTCTAATACATTGTTGAGTATTGAACGAAAATCCTACTTATTAAAGATTCAGATTTGGATTTGGGGGAAAATCCACCCTTTCTCCTCTTACTTTATTGTCGTGATATTAAAAGCATGCAGACCTTTTCTCTTTGTGTCCCTGAGTGAATATTTTTTCTCTAGACAATATATGGCAATCCTGCAAACTGTTCAGGAAATGTGTGTAACTTTAACTTTGCTTTTTCCAGTTTTTTTCCTTGTTGGTGAGATTCAGGTTCAGAAAAAGACACTATGTACTAAAAATTTTTTTTGGACTAAAGATAAGCCTCTCAAAAATATGTGGCAAAAGACATCTACAAAGAAAGGAAGTTAGTGAGTTTTCCCCTTGCTTAGAAAATAAACTGCATTTTACACTTTATATCACAACTTTGATTAATGGAAAACTTCTTCTTGGCAAAATTGAGTTGGAATTCTGTTTTGAATATCTGGAAGCAACATGTTGAAAATTAACTCATATTTAACTCTGAAAGCTTGATATCATACATTTCTCTACTTTGAGTCTATCAGGTATGTTATATTATTAAAAGTTTATATGATTTAAAAATTATTCCCAACTGCCAAAGTTGTTGGTAAACTAAAGACATATTATATACTTACATCTGTATACTATAATGTGATCAGACAATAGAAAAATAGATTTTAAAAAATACTTTGTCAATAGAAGATAAATGCAACTGAGTAAAAGTTGAAGACAATATGAGATAATGCTTGTGCTATTCCTCTGCTGTTTTAACTTTTGTTAGCCTCTTTAAGAGAGATATGGGACTGAGTAAAGCATGGGTAAACTTAGGATATTCGTTTTTCTTCTACGGCAGTTTTGCTGAAAGGAAGGATTTTGAAATTGACAGCTCAGGTGGTAGTTTGGGATGACTTTGGGATTTTATTTTGTCATTAATTTGGGCAGTCAAGATTTGTAAAGCTGCAAACTAAATTATTTCCTGAGGAAGAGTACGGTGTCTGATTTTTTTTTTCCATCTTATTTTCTTTAAGCCTAGATAAAGAATTTTTTTAAGATTTATTTTATTTATTTGAAAGAATTACAGAGAGAGGTAGAGACAGAAACAGAGACAGAGAGAGAGAGGTCTTCCATCCACTGGTTCACTCCTCAGATGACTGCAATGGCCAGAGCTCTGCTGATCCGAAGCCAGGAACCAGGAGCTTCTTGTGGGCCTCCCACGTGGGTGCAGAGGCCCAAGGACTTGGGCCATCTTCTGCTTTCTCAGGCCATAGCAGAGAGCTGCATCGGAAGAGGAGCACTCAGGACTACAATCAGCACCCATATGGGATGCTGGTGCTTCAGGCCAAGGCGTTAGCCCACTGCGCCACAGCGCGGGCCCCAAGAATTGTTTTTAATAAGCTCTGTCTTTGACCCATCATGACTCTTAGGAATTAGCCCTTGTGCTGGGTACCTAGCACTTTTCCACTCTGCATGTCTGTTAAGAGTTTTCAAGTAGGCTGCATGACACAACTCAGAACAAAAGTAACCCACCCTATGGATGCTTTCCTAGAACAGTAACTTTCTGGTTGAAATGTGAGCATTGATATTCTTAGTACACAAAGGCTAGGGAAGTTGGGAAGGGTATCTTGTCAGGCTAGTTATTCCAACTTTGAATTCCATTTTTGAGAGTGGCAGCCCTTCCCTTGTATCTTCTCCAAAAGATTAGGTGGATTCCTAATTTATCTAAATTTTTCTTAAGGGTTTTTTTTTTAACATATATTTTTTTAAAAAAGGTTTATGTATTTATTTGAAAGAGTTTCAGAGAGAGAGAGAGAGAGAGAGAGAAATGTATCTTCTGTCTGCCGATTCCCTCTCCAGTTGGCCACAATGGCCAGGGCTGGGCCAGGCTGAAGCCAGGAGCTTCATCTGGGTCTCCACTGTGAGTGGCAGGGGCCCAAATACTTGGGCCCTCTACTGCTGCTTCTCCCAGGCCATTAGCTAGGAGCTTGATCAGATGTGGGACAGCTGGGACACGAACTGGCTCCCCTGTGGGATGCCATAGGCAGTGGTTTTACCTACCGCACCAGAATGCCAGCCCCTTAAAATGTATTTATAATTTCTGCCTGTCACTTGTCAGGGTAACAAATCCTTAGGTTTGTCATTTCTGTCAAGATTGCCTTGAGGTTTATTATTACGAGGGTTGGTTATTAAATCAGTGTTAAACTCTCCCTGAATAGTTTTATGAATATTATTCCTAACCTGGTCACTTTTCATATTTCCAGAGTGTTTTTCACTTTAACTTAAATCCAGGCTGAAGAACAGTTCATACCAAGGGGGAACAGGCCCAGGCTGCCCTGAGCAGTGCCTGTGTCTGGTATAGATGTTAGTGGGGGCCACACGTGCTGCATGTGTTGGGGTGGCAGTGCGCCCCAGGAGTAGTCATGGTCAGTGTCCCCTTGAGGGACCTTGCTTCTGTCTCAAGACACGACCTCCTTTCAGCACTGAGGTCAGGTGGCACATTCAGCAGGCCTAGCAGGTTGCCTCTTACGATGAGAGGAAGGGACGTGGCGGTGTGACTCAGGTTTAGATGAGGTGGGAAAGAGATGCGGTTTCATGTGAAGTAGATTACTGGTAGTCACTGGCCGTGACTCTATGATGTCTTGATGCTAGTGCACCTGGATTATTTTCAGGATTCTTGTGCTATTTACTCCCTCTCTTGCACTGCGTTTGTAGTCATAAAAACATAGGTGGGTTAAACTTTAACATTGAGAATTGTTTTGAAGGTGTGCTACCTGCTGAAAATGAACTCAAGGTGGGACTCATGGCATACTATTGGTCGGGCCACTTTTCCCAAAAAAAGACCTCTAGCCCAGAGTAGAAAGACCTTCTGTGTAATTTGGTTTGCACATAAAATAGGTAATACAAAAAGCTTTTCAAATTGTCACAGCTACTTCAACAGTTAGGATTAATTAGTGGCTCTTACCATGTATGAACAGAATATTGATCTAGGCAAGGTCTGAACCAATTTAAGTAAAATTTAAAATTATGAAATAATCTCTATCCCTAAAGACTAGTAGACATCTTTTTGCTGTATACTAAATAGAATCCTTAAATAGTGTTTACTTTTTATTTATTTTTAAAGAGCTGATTTTTTGGTGTCACTATAATGTTGCTATTTCTCCTTCTGACTTTTGAATTAGGGCTGAAAATTATGTCTATCTTTGCTTTCTTGATAATATTTAGCATCTGACCTTTAATGATAGTATTTGTATAATTTAAATGTTTTGTTTTTAGCTATGATCTGATGAGTGAATGGCAGGACCCATTTTTAGAGTGATTAGGAACAAGACTTAGTCGATTGGCTTTAGGAAGCTTCTGCTTGTGGAAGCTATTGCAAAAACTAGCAGTCAGTCCAGAGTATTTTAAACATGTACATTTTAATGAGAAGACCGATTTTAATCTTGCTGTATTTGTGTTTGAGAAATAATAAAACTCATGTGGAAATGCCTTTTGAACGAGCAAAGGTTAGAAATTAGGGCCTTTATAGTTTTAGATTTTATTTTATTTTTATTGAGATCTTAGAATTTGTTATTTGCTATTCATGACAAATTTCACTTGGTAGTAAGTTTACTTACATGTTAACATTTAAATATTTGCAAAATCACTCACTAAACAAGACATGGCCATTATACATATGTGCCTATTTCACAGATAGTTTAGGATATCTTCTTAAAACTGATCTTGCCCTGATGAGTTAGTTGAGCAACTCTTTACTTCTTTTGGTTAAAATTAATTTTTCTAGGCATATGCATGATCCACCCAATTGAAAACTCACATGCATTCTAGATATGAGCAGCTGGGAGCCGACCTGGGGTTCAGGGCTTGTTACAGTGGCTTCCACACTGTGCTAGAATTGGGCTACGATCTTTCAGAGGTGTTGGAAATTGAACATTCATTTTGATGCTGTGCTCTACTTTGAGGCTAAAATGGAATTTTGGAACATGTCATTTGAATGACATCTGATCACATTTTAATGGGGGAATTAGCTGTGTTTTAATGAATGTTTTCTAAAAGATTTTTATTTGTAGTAAGTTAGCTTTCAGATGGTTGTCCTTTACCACATAAGGAAAGATTTAACCTTTCCAAGGTTTTTGATCCTCTCTTTCTGTCATGCGGCAGATACTGGTAGTTTGAGGTGACAAGTGATTGTCATCTGATGAAATTTATCAAATGAAGAATTTATCCTATATGCTTCTTGCAGATTAGATTTCTCTTGAGTTAAATTCCAAATGTTAATTTGTATTTTATAAATGTTAACTATTTGTGGTATGTCCAAGCCTGATGTTAAAAAAATATTTTTTCTTATATGGGTTCCTGTTGATGTTATTTTGTTAAAACAGACAAATTTCTGATATGGAAAAAATATTCTGTCAATGTGTTTTTGTATTATTTTGTCTTTAAAAATATTAGCTCTAGCATATAAAATCACTTATCAAAATTGTGTTAATTTACTTGGGAATTTTAATCTCGTGTTCCTTTATAAATGTGTTTTCTGTTTCCATTTAGATCTTGAATATCTGATGCATGCAAAGCAGCAGCTGGTGACCACAGCCAAGCGCTGGGACTCTTCTTCTAAGACTATCATAGATTTTGAACCTAATGAGACTACTGATTTGGAGAAGAGCCTTCTTGTCAGATACCAGATTCCACTGTCTGCTGACCAGCTGTTTACCCAGTCCGTTTTAGACAAATCCTTGACCAAGATCAACTATCAGTCGCGGTTGCATGACCTCCTGTATATTGAGGAGATAGCCCAGTACAAGGAAGTCAGCAAGTAAGTTACGGCAGAAGCACTTCTTTTTCAAGTCTCCCCTTTGGTGGCATTAAAAATGTATTTATTTAAGTTTTTTTTTAAATGTTTTAAGAGATTCAAAATAGTTCATTGATATAATTCTACGAATACAATATTCCTCTCCTCCTTCCCTTCTGCGCTTCTTTCTTTCAGTTTCTGAGGTAACTTTTTTTATTTTAAAGTTTTATTTATTTATTTACTTGAAAGAGTTACACAGAGAGAGAAGGAAAGGCAGAGAGAGAGAGAAAGGTCTTCCATCTGCTGGTTCACTCCCTAGTTGGCCGCAATGGCCAGAGCTGTTCTGATCTGAAGCCAGGAGCCAGGAGCTTCTTCCAGGTCTCCCACACGGGTGCAGGGGCCCAAGGACTTGGGCCATCTTCTACTGCTTTCCCAGGCCATGGCAGAGAGCTGGATTGGAAGTGGAGCAGCCGGGTCTTGGACAGGCAGCCATATGGGATGCCAGCGCTTCAGGCCAGGGCATTAAACCACTGTGCCACAGCACCGGCCCCAACATTTTTTTTTCAGGATTTGTTTATTTGTTTGAGAGGTAGAGTTTCAGATAGAGAGAGGGAGAAACAGAGAGAAAGGGCTTCCATCTGCTGGTTCACTCCCCAAATGGCCGTTGTGGAGCTATGCTGATCCGAAGCCAGAAGCCAGGAGCTTCTTCCAGGTTTCTCATGTGGGTGCAAGGACTTAAGCCATCTTCCACTGCTTTCCCATTAGCAGAGAGCTGGATCAGAAGTGAAGCAGCTGGGACACAAACCAGCACCCATATGGGATGCCGGCTGGCGCTGCAGGCAGAGGCTTAGACTACTGCACCACAGTGCCAGCCCGAGATAACAGATTTTTGATTTACCTTACAATCAAGGTTAATGCTTCCAGTCACATTTTTAATTTTGAAAACTGAAGAATGTGTAACTCAAGACAGGTAGGAAAATGGTTGTTGTTCAGTAGCTATCTTTTATTCTTAAATGAAATATGAGCTTTTTAAGAAAAGAATCGTGTCCTGCTCATCTTGGTATCCTCAGCGTGTAGTACATAGTTCATTTCCCCAAGACTTTACCAAGAATCTGATGGGGCTGGGCACCATGCCATGGGCGCCATGTGCTGCGACTGTAAATTTGTCATTGCTGCCTAAAAGGGCATTTCTGCCCATACCAGTCATTGCCCGCGTGCAATGAATATTTGTTGAATAAATATACGACAGTGGATGGAGAACACCACGTGTCTTGAAAGTTATTTTAAGAATGAAATCATTTAGATCTTCAGGAAACCAGTTGGATAATAAAAGTGCTTTCAAGCATTTATATGTGCTTGAACATACTTTACATTTTACCTATATACCACAGGTTATCAATGCTTAAGTTAAAAACTTATTTGAGTTATTTAGGAAAAATAGTCTTAGAAAGATTGAGTGAAGAAAATGTTAATGAATAGTGTTATAGTGTTTGATAGTAGCTTTCTTTTAGATAAAATGAGATAAGCCTTAAAAATTAAACCCTGGGGCCAGCGCCATGGCTCACTTGGTTAATCCTCCGCCTGCGGCGCTGGCATTCCATATGTGCGCTGGGTTCTAGTCCTGGTTGCTCCTCTTCTGGTCCAGTTCTCTGCTGTGGCCCAGGAAGGCAGTGGAGGATTGCCCAAGTGCTTGGGTCACTGCACCCACATGCAAGACCAGGAGGAAGCACCTGGCTCCTGGCTTCGGATCGGTGTAGCTCCAGCCATAGCGGCCATTTGGGGGATGAACCCACAGAAGGAAGACCTTTCTCTCTGTCTCTCTCTCTCTCACTGTCAAACTCTGTCAAATTAAAAAAAAAAATTAAACCCCAATTATAAGGCATGGCTATAATTTTATAAGTATTTTTTCTTGTAAGTATAGTCTAACTAAAATATTTTCCTTCTCTGATCTGCTTATTGGTCCCATCTGATTAATATTAATAGATTCTGGTCATTTATTAGGAGTATAGTTAGAAAAGAAGAAGTGAAAACTTTGAAGATAACCTTTGTTACACTATTTATGGATTAAATATGATTTTACTTTCCAAAGTATCTAATTTCTTTTTTTTTAAGATTTATTTATTTGAAAGAGTTGCAGAGAGAGAAATGTTCCATCCCCATCTGCTGGTTCACTCCCCAAATGACCGCAATGATCTGAAGCCAAGAGCTTCTTCCCGGTCTCCCACGAAGGCACAGGGACCAAAGCACTTGGGCCATCCTTCGCTACTTTACCAGGCTGTAGCAGAGAGCTGGACTGGAAGTGGAGCAGCCAGGTCTCAAACAGGCACCCATATGGGATGCTGGCACTGCAGGTGGTGGCTTTACCCACTAAGCCACAGCGCCAGCACCCAAAATATCTAATTTCCAATTAGACACATTGAAAGTTACAAAGTTAGGGGGAAGGCCTTTGGCCTTGATGTTGAGACTGCTGGGAGGAAGCACAGGTCCCACATCCCAGGGCCTGGCTCTGGCTTGGGGCTGTGGTTCTGGCTACTGAGTCAGCTTCTTGTAAGTGCAGCCCCTGAGAGGCAGTGGTCATGATTCTGGTAGGGGATTCTGTGCCCCTGTGGGGGACCTGGATGAGTTCCTGGCTCACAGATTTCAGATGTCCAGAGGTTTTGGACATTGGATATTTGGGGAGTGAACGAACAGATGGGTGCTCTCTCTACACCCCCCCCCCCCGCCATTATATGTGTAAGTTACAAAAACAAAGCAGAGATAGTGACTTGTATCATGCACATTATTCACTGTGTTAACGTGCATGTCTGTTGTTTACATTATTATATGGTCCTCTTCCTTAGGAAAGAACACTATAGTAAATTATAAATATTGAGGTGAAATAGAATTTATAAGCTTAACAGAGTCTTGGAGAGTACTTTTGAGTATTGTACTAGAAATTTAGGAAAAGATTGTATGTTGACACATAGTATTTGTTTAATATTTTTCAAGTTTCTAAGTCATTTGATTACCTTATAACTTAAAACTAGGGGTTGGGTGGTTCATGGTGTGGTGCAGCCGATTAAGCCAGCACTTGGGACCCCTTCATCCCTTATCAGAGTGCTGGTTCGAGTCCTGGTAACTCTACGCTTTTGACCCAGCTTCCTGGTGGTGTACCTGGAGGCAGCAGAAGATAACCCAGATCCTTGGGTTCCTGCCACCCATATTGGAGACACAAATAGAGTTCCTGGCTGATGGCTTCAGTCTGGCTCAGCACTGGCTGTTGTAGCCATTTAGGGAATGAACTAGTCAATGGATGATATCTGTGTATGTGTGTGTCTTTCCATCTCTTTCTGTCACTTGACTTTGAGATAAATAAATAAATCTTAGAAAAGAAACTAAGAGGTACTAAAAACTCAGTAATCAAAATGGATATTTAAAAACGTATAGGAGCTGTATGGGCATGCCGTATTACAGTGCCATTTAGAGTCCCAGCTGCTCTGCTTCCAATCCAGCTCCCAGCTGATGTGCCTGGGCAGTTGTCAGACAATGGCTCTAGTATTTGGGCTCTTGCCACCCTTGTGGGAGATTTGGATGGAGTTCCAGGCTCTTGGTTTTGGCTACTGTGGCCACTTGTGGAATGAACCAGTAGATGGAAGATCTTTTTTTCCCCTCTCTTACTCTGCTTATCAAATAAAATAAATCTTAAAAAAAAAAAGAATTTATAATTAAAGACCAAAAGGCTTTTGGATTGTTATCTTAAAAATGGAAGCTTGTGGGGAAGCAGTGTGGCGTGGTGGGTTAAGCTGCAGCTTGGAACACCCACATCGAAGTGCTGGTTCCAGTCCTGTACACTCCACTTCTGCCGCAGCCCCTGCCTTAGTGCGCCTGGGGAGCAGAGACCACGACTGCAGTACTGAGTCCCTTCTGCACATGGGGGAGACCCGGAGTTCCTGGCTTCGGCCTGGCCCAGCCGCAGATGTTGTGGCCGTCCTCCCACTCCAACCCCCCTCTCCTCTCTGCTTCATTCCTTCCTTTCCCCCCTTCCCCTTTCTCTCTCTCTGAAATAATCAATCAGTCTCTTTTAAGAAATGCCCTTAAGATATGGAAAGGAAGAGTGTGGTAAGACAGAATGTAGACAGTGTGGTAAGATGAGTGCTAAGACAGCTTACAGTTTTTTTAATAGTAATATCTGAGTTTTCTCATTTTTTTAAAAAATAGGGAAAATTGGGTCATAGTTACTGACTTGAGTAGAGGTATTGAATCTAAATCAATAGGATCTTTAAAAAAAAAAAAATCTGAGTGCTGGTGTGCAAGAGCGCTCCCCTATCCACTGGTTCATTCCCCAAATGCCTAACAGAGCTCGGCCCAAACTGGGAACCCAGAGCTCAATCCAGGTGTGCCATGTGGCTGGCAGGAACCCAGGTACCTGAGCCGTCACTGCTGCCTCCCCGAGTCCACATGAGTGTGAAGCTGGCGTCAGGAACTCTGATCTGGGAGGCAGATGCCTTCAGTTTTTGAGGCCAAATGTTGGGTCCAGTAGTATCACTTTTGATTTGTTAGATATACTAACTATAAAAGAGGTTTTAAGAACCTTAGAAGTGAGAATTTATTACAACAAGGTTTTTTTTTTTTTTTTTAAATTAAAGGTTTATTTATTTATTTGAAAGAGTTACACAGAGAGAGAAGGAGAGCTAGAGAGAGAGGTCTTCATCCTCTGGTTCACTCCCCAGATGGCTGCAATGGCCGGAGCTGTGCCGATCCAAAGCCAGGAGCCAGGAGCTTCTTCCAGATCTCCCACGCGGGTGTAGGGGCCCAAGGACTTGTGCCTTCTTCTACTGCTATCCCAGGCCATTGCAGAGAGCTGGATCGGAAGTGGAGCAGCCGGGACTAGAACTGGCGCCCATATGGGATGCCAGCGCTTCAGGCCGGGGTGTTAACCTGCTGCGCCACAGCGCTGGCCCCTGGACCATCTTCTTCAGCTTTCTCAGGCCATAGCAGAGAGCTAGATTGAAAATGGAGCAGCCGTTGGAAAAGGAATGCTGGCA